TTATCAAATAGTAATGTACGGAATGATAAAAATGTAGATTAATGCCAGATAAGATTGAACTAAATGAATATTACTATGAAGAAACGAAAATATTAACTTTTATATTTAATAAAACGAAAAACACGTCGTTTCTGTATTTTTAATATAATTCGAGGACATTTTAAAGTTAAACTATGAATCATAATTTATTTTTGACCAAAACGTTTTTACTAACATATAATTAAATTAATTTTATTAATAAGTAAAAACTACTTACTGCCAACGTTTATCCGATATATTAGTTTCATTTAAATGAATAAAACTCGAGTATTAAAACTCATTAATAAAAGCTAAAAATGTCTAAACAGGTTAGTTTCAAGCAAAAACTTTTGTATTTGTATACTTTTTAATGTAATTATACTTTATTAATAGTTATTATAACAGATTGAAATAATATATTACTTCGATTCGCGTAAATATCTCCGTGTGACGTCATCATATCTGTATTTTATATTAACCGATAGATGGCGTTAGTTGTATTCACTTTCTAAGCATACGTTACTTTAATATTGAATCTATTACAAATATTATAAATAATATATATGTGAGAAGAATTTAATACTATTATTTTAGCATTTGGTATTTCCGTGAGTTAACCTATACATAGTTCAATGTAGCTACAAAAATGTTATTAGAAAAAAACGACTATTCTGTTTGCTAAATGAAAGCAAGATTTTGTACTTTCTACCATTATTCGGTATCTATATCTTCCATATATATAATATTCCATTACTATATCTATGATTAGATTGTTTGATTTGTCTAGTCTATAAAATTAATTCGTTTCATCATAAATTTCAACTAAACCTTTATAATATAATGTAACAAATCGATGAATCTTCATGCAGGGCGAAAAATTGAAACCCTTTGTAACTTTAAAATCAATTCTGATACTTATCATTTATACTGTGAGATATAAAAATACTTCGGGTATTTGTATTATCATATAGTGATGGAAATCTGAAATTCCGTTTAATAAGATTAATAAGGAAATGACGTCACTCATAGTTTGTAAAAATAAACTAAAATAAAGCCATGTTGACTGACGTGTCTAGATATAGTAAAAACAAAATAATTATAAACTTATTAATGGGTGAAATAAGTTTTTAATGAAGTAATTTAAAAATATCTACTTATTGTATTTCTTAATTTTTTTATACTAAAATATCAAATAACCAACAAAATCTTAGGAAAAATAACGTCAGAATGGATGAACGCTAATATTAAAACAGAATAAAAATCATGAAATTAGTAAAATAATTAAAATTTTAAAAAGAAATAATTTAATTCGTATACAACTGCATTGTTGATACATAAAAAGTAAAAACATATTTTTTTTACTTTTTACACTAAAACATGATAACTCGTCCATTAACTAAAATACAATTGTATTATTTACAAAACTGATGTAGAAATTAAACTCAAATCAAATTACAAAAAAGATAGGTACGTTTCACAAAACGTAATAGAAATGTTTTAAAACATAAAATGAAACTCAAAATTTAGTTATAATTCTTGACGTATGCAATGTAAATCGTTTTATTTTATGAAAAAGTAACTTTTATTATTTTTATTAGAAAAAGCCTTAATAAAAACAAAATTACTAATATATATATTGACTTAATATTTTTATAAGGAACAAAGTAATAGATGGCATTGTTTTAGGAACTCTACTATACATATTGCATAATACTAAATTCTGTATGTATTATAAATATTTTCATATATAAACAAGATATTTTTGTTCTAATATAAATACAGTGTGCCTATACCATCTCGTCTTAATGATCACGGTTGCTGTAAAGTAACCGAAACTTCGGGAGTATGTAGTTAAAAAAGCCTAGTATATCCGAATAATATTAAATTCATTTAAATGACTAGCGAAAATCCTCAAATCTCATTATATAAATACAATATTCTATATGTATATTAACGTAGAAATGTACGTTCGTTTTCAGTTGTAGTGACGTGGCTTAGTAAGGTCACTGTAAGGTCTAAAAAGATTTGATACGACCATCGAAAGGTGAAAAAAACTATAGAAAAAACTGTTAAAAAATGGTTAGATATTTCATTTATATACAAAAACATTATTAAGTCATACTTTTGATATAAAAATAAAATTATTCTAATTATTTTTGATAGTTTTTTCGTCTAATTCTATTATATATTGCATATAATTTAAGCCGTTTAATAAATATACCCAATTATTCTAGGTATTTGTAAACTATATGCATATTCGTTCTTGTGTAGCAAAAAAATAATGTTAATAATAACTAGCTATATTACTTTTACTTCAGACTTTCTCCTGTATTTTTTTTAATACAAAAAGTTTACTAGTTTCATATATACCAACTTAGTTACATTAATTTTAATATTTAATATAACAAATATATTTTTATTATAGTATTATTAATATAGAAATTAACTAGAAGTTTATATATAGTACAAAACATAATATGTCATTATAGTTTTCGTATTTGTAAGTAGCGATCGATTCCTTCGTATAGAAACCTTTGTGCAACGTCAGTACTGAAATAACAAGATAATATTTCCCTAAAACCCGATAGATGGTGCTTTTATTAAAATTTTAATTACAACAAAATTAAAATTTAATACAAATGAGATTTACAAAAAATAAACATTTCTTATAATAAAATGACCACTAATAAATATAAATGAATTATAATACTATTATTTTTATATTTCCGAACTAAGTAACCTTGACGGTAAAATTAACGTTGTTATAATATTGTTAAAACATGAAACTTAGAAATCATTTTATATACTGCCTTTGTTTTAATTAAATAGAACAATTCATATCATATTTATTATGTTACAAAACAACTAAATGTCTGTACGAAAGTGAACCTTTTACTAAGTGTCAATAATATATATACATATATATATATATATATATATATATATATATATATATATATATATATATATATAAGTAAGTTAATTTCTATCGAACATATGTATATGAAGACAGGTAATGAACGAATAGCGACGTCTCTCAATAGACGTTCGTAGGACATTAAACCGTGGCCTTGAAGGTATTGTTTTAAATTTAACATTCATATTTATATTTTTAAAACTATTACAAACACACACACACACACACACACACGTACACAGACAGACAGACACATACACAAGTAAGCGTATATATATATAAATCATTATGATGTAAAAACAAACACATAAATAATATTTAAGTATGCATACAGTTACAATACACAACATATTATATGTACGTATAATTTAAACAATTTAGTATTTACCAAATGGGAGCCGAAAAATATTAATAATATATAAAATGCGTGTCACATATATGTAGTAACAAAACATATACATATATATATATATATATATATATGTATATCCCACCAATTCTATGTTTACACGTGCAGTCCAAAATGGCGTCCGTTTATAAAAGAACGAATAAAAAAATGTTGCCTTTGAAATTAATCATTGGACATGACATTCACGCAGGTGGAAACGGTCTCAAATAAAACGTTTAATTATATTAATATTAATAAAGATATCAAAAATAAATAAAATATAATTAAATTTTACAAAAAAAAACATTTTTCGTATATGTAATGGCATTTTAAAAACTTTTTATTAACAATATATAACTATATTATTATAATCAATATTAATTTATAAAAATAGTTTTGTTACAAATAATAAAATATTATATCCAATTTAAAAAAATTACATTGAACACACGTCATTCGGCCATTTTGTGAATACACGTAATCGCGCTTAAAGTTTTGCAACATTAACTATTTATATACAGAACGATAAATAATATATGTATTGAAATAAAATTCATTATTTTAATGTATTGAAATTATTATTAATATAATTTTTTTAATATAATTAATTAATACAAAAATTATGTTCATTTATTATATATTATCAAATGTATTTAAACCTACATTCGTCTTAAATTTAAATATATGTCTTAAATATATAATAGTATATTTATATTAAAATTTGTATACGTATAATATACATTGAATATTATGTATATAATATACATTATAATATATTAATATAACGAGTAATGTATGACGCTGTACGAACGTGTTTACTTGCACGTCGACAGTGTCGCAATCGTATTGATATACTAAAATTATTAATAATAGTTTTTCCAGCTAAAAATTATACCACCATTTTGAAATATTATCCTTATTTTTTTAATAATACACGCGTCCAAGGTTTAAGTTATTCAGACAAAAAAATTATTCAAATATATAGTATAAAGTTTAATATAATATTAATATATATTTTGCTTCATCATCGTTATAAAATATCAAATAAACGCTCGCGATCGTACAGAATGAATGATTTTATTTTTTAACGTCCTTGAGATGTTTGGCTGTCGAGATAGTAAAATTACAAGTTTCCATTTACATTAAAAAAACATTATATCTATCTAAAATTAATTAATTAATATTATATTGTATATAATCTGCATAGCGTGATGACGTCACTGCGGATATTCTTCAAAATTTCGAGCATAATAAGTGAATAGAGGACGGATTTAAATTACATTAGCGCAGCAAGATGACGTTACAAATAAATACTTGTACGCCACCATATTGTCGAGCTGTTATCATCAATAGTGGAGGAGTACGCCATCGACATAATAACTAACCTAATTAAAATATACGACATTAATAAAAAAATACAGCCCAATAAATAATAATAATAATAATAAAAATTTGAATTACTGTCCAATGAGATCGCGTACCAAAAAGAAAAATTTATAAAAATATTTTCAAAATGGCGTCCGTAAATAATATTATATTAAACAACTAATAAAAGTATTAACACGTGCTCCAAATATATATGTTTTAGTGGCGAGCGCGTACGTTATTCCGTTCGAACAAAGAGCACGCATATTGCCGCTAGCGGGTCGCTAGTATAAATCACCCGGTTCCACTCACCAGCGGTTGATCTCTCCTCCTGAGAGAGTCCACTCCAGCCTGGCACCACACTCGCGTAAACCTCATCCCAACTCTTCATCTTCTCAGCGCGATCACCATAATTCATATCATTACTATCGTACAGACACGGTCGTTTCTGTACTTCGGTTACTATAATCCCGCTGTTTATACCGTCCCCGTCCTTCGTCCTCACCATATTATAATAAGTTTATTATTTAATTATTTGTATTTTATAACGGACGCGCGCGGTTCGCGTCCGAACGCCCGCGTATAACTGACGTGAAGCGACGCAACGTCCAACATGGCGGATCGGCGGGGAAACGTTTAGCTGTTACTTTACTGACGATATCTTCCTCTATTTAATAAATAAATAGCATGCACGCCATTTTATTTATATTATTTATTATACATGAAAATTTTTATCACATATTTATATATAATATATAGTTTGTATGTTATATATTTCTTTCAAATATTATCCGTCCTCATACAATTCGTTGCGGTGAGTTATATTAATAAAAAAACCCGTACAAGTATGTATTATTTCCAGTATCGAAGTTGTTAGTGTTCTTTTATATTATAGTACATATTCCGTCTAGTTTTCAACAGTCGCCCCGTCATTACGCAACACACAATCACAAAGTAATCTTATTGATAGCGTTTCGGACATTTGTAATTTCTTTGAAATATTTTAAACTCGTCCGTCAAGGTTTGAATGAATGAAAAAGCACAATAGTAATGTCATATTTATTAAATAAGTATTAATGAAGTTAATTTTATTATGTTTTTTAATTAAGTTTTCATATTAAATATTATATTCTCGTAAATAAATGGATATGTCACGTGATCTAAATTTAGTTCTGTCTCCACAAAATAGTCATATTAAATTGTATTTGAGTGAGTCAGTTATAAAGGCAGTTTGACCGCGTCATGTTTTAAGAGATTATGTTAATATATTAAAAACTTATAATATTTAATACATAATATTGCAGGTGGTAGTGAATATTATTTACGTCTTTTATATTCTATTTATTAAATACTAGCTTTCCGCCCGCAGCTTCGCCCGCGTGGAGTTGGGTTATATCGCGTTTCCAAGAGAACCTTGCAAAAGTCTGGCATAAAAACTACCCTATGTTCTTTCTCAAGGTCAACTCCATCTCTGTACCAAATTTCATTAAAATCAGTTCAGTGGTTTTGGCGTGAAAGCGTAACAGACAGACGGACAGAGTTACTTTCGCATTTATAATATTAATACTAGTAGGGATTTATTAAATATTATTTAATATGAATTATTTTTAATTATAATTATTTTTATTGTATAAATTCGATGAAATATTTCTATAGAAATTATGAATTGTAACAAAATTTAATCGAGAAAGTTTAAATTGTAATTAGAAATGGATTCTCGGAAACGTTCGAATAAATTAAGACAAACAAACTTTATACTGGTCTGTAATATTTTGTTATTCATAATTATAATTATTATAAAATATTATTTAGACATAAATATAATAAATTCATAGAAAAAAATATAAAAAAAAAATCTTGGTAAAAATTAATACTTTTTACTTTGGCAATATTTTACTTAAAAATAATATTATTATATTATATATTTTTTTTTGGATATATCGTATTCCAATTACCACGAAATTTCTTTACTAGTTAAAATACTAGTTGGTTTTCATAAATAAAATATAATCTCATTAAAAAAGTGGAAAAGCGTAGAATGTAGTAACGATGTATTCTTATAGAGCAGACTACATATAATTTAACTTGAAATTTATTTTTATTTAGTCAGTTATTAATACCCTTATACAAAGAAATGGGTGAAAATTTCTCATTAATATTTAAAATTTATATATACTAGCTGACCCGGCAAACGTTATATAATATTTTGCCATACATAAAAATTTAATTTGGTGATAAAAAGGTAAAAATTTAGGATTGTATGTATTTTTGATGCCACAATTAAAAAAAAAAAGCCCTTATCACTTAGGTGTTGAAAAATAGATAGTAGCCGATTCTCAGACCTACTGAATACGAATATAAAGTTTGGTGAAAATCGGTAAAGCCGTTTCGGAGGAGTACGGTAACTAACATTGTGATATGGAAATTATATATACATATTTGTTCGTTTTATTTTACCGGTAAATATAAACCAATTAATTGTACCGGTATATTGGGATTTCACTGACAAATGGTTTGTATTACAGGAAAAACCTTTAAACATACAAAAAACACATGATGTATAATACACAACAAAAATATAATTATTATATTAAAAAAGATTGTACAAGTTTTATATAAGATAACTAAGTTTGAATATGAAACTTGGTAAAATAATTTGATGTATAATATACAGGGTGACTGGTGAATTACTTTTAATATTTAAGGAGCATACTCAGTACATGATTCTCATTCGAATTATGTAAAAAATAGGTACTTAATTTTTGACCAAATTTCCGTATAAATAAATAAAGTGTGTACACGTTCCAAGTGTTCCAAGTGTTCCAAGTGTGGACGTGTGCGGCGGCGTGCTGATACAACACCACGCCGCCGCCGCGTCTGTGTGAGTGTGTGTGTATACCTAATCTGTAGGGTGTTCATACGATGCGTAATTAATTACATAACTTTTGGTTAACTTTACTTAGAAGTTTATTAATATTTATGTTATATTAATTTTTATTTTGTCATATATGATCGTCAAATATCACGTCCTCAAATATCGATAGTAATTCACCAGTCACCCTGTATACTTCTTTTCAAATTTAGTTAGAGAGAGGAGCTTGAACAGTGGAGGTGATCGTTTAACGTTAGATAGGGTCCCTTAAACCTACACCTGGGTCACAAGTCACAGTCACTGTTGAAGCTACAACGATGGTAGGTATCATCTCTATATATGTAATATGAAACTAGAACAATTTTTATATATTTTAAATCATCCATAATTGTATATACATCGATGTCATATATTCTTGTATTAACTGGATTTACTCTAAAAGGTTTTTTTACAAGTTTTTTATTACGTAATCGTTGTAAAATTTCTTTCCATTCATATTATTTTTATTATATTCTGCTAATATGTATTTGTTTTACAATATTATTGACATATACATATATAGTTTTCTACTGGAGGTCAAGAACAAAAGTAAATAAATTTATAGCTATTAAATTATTCAATATAAAATTTAGTCTAATCTTACTTACTTGTGTACAACTTGGTCTATAAATTCTTTAAGTACAATCTTTGAAGCGTGAAATTGTGTATCGCTTGATCTATACTATTTATCAATTAAATGCACTAAAATTACGTTTTTGTTTAGGAAAAAATATATTCTTATTCGACAGCGCTTTGTACAGACTGATTGTCAATAAAGTAAGAAATAAAGACTCTATAATGTCTCAAAGACTAGTCTAGACTTGGTCTCGTATTTCGTAAGTCTAGCTTTAAGAACGGGCGAGTGATGTTTAGACTCACAATACTCTCATTTTTAGCATATTTTATTAACATTTTAATATATTATGTATATGCACTTACTACAATTTATAATATAGCGTTATTTAAAGGTCTTTTTATTTTTATTTCTTTAGTTAGTCTTAGTCTACCTTGTGATTAATCTATCATAAGTACATAGTCGGATTTCTTTAAGTAAAATTACGATTATATCAAAATGCTTTCTTCAGAAAATGGATATGTAAATATCTAATTAAAATAATTTAGTGAATACCAGTATTATTATGAAATTTTACGTATTATTGATATATTTTTTACTAAAAATAATATCAAGTAATCGTAGTTAATACATTTAATATTGAATCTGCAAGTAAACAAAATGATTTCATCAATTAGGGTCACGTCCACGACGGACGATTGATAAGACTTATAACCACCAAAAGATGGCGCTGACAATAAAAATCATTCTAAATAATAATCACAAAAAAATTACAATATTTAGTATATTTATATGAGTATGTTAAATTTAATTTTATTACCATACTGTAACACTAAGTATGAGTACAACTATTCTTCTTACTAGCAATTTCCCAGCTTTAGCCAGGGTCTGCCTTATATGTTAATAGTTTTGGCTAATTGTTTTTACGACCGGCCGGCTGCCTGACATCAACCCTCTTTGGGAATGCATTAATCAGTGATGTCTAAATACTCTTAGAAAGTACATATGAATCGGAAAAATCACATTGGTACTTGCCAGGATCGAACCCGCGCCCTCATGCATGAGACGCGGACCTTTTAACCACTAGGCTACCACTGACTCATGACTAAGTACGAGTACAACATCATTACCTAAATACCTACAGTTTAACGTCTGTTCAGTCGCAAATCAATTAATATAATTACTTGTTCGTAATTCTGTTAGTATATTAAATACTAGCTTTCCGCCCGCAGCTTCGCCGCGTGGAGTTCGGTTATATCGCGTTTCCAAGAGAACCTTTCAAAAGTCTGCGATAAAAACTATCCTATATTCTTTCTCAAGGTCAACTCTATCTCTGTACCGAATTTCATTAAAATCAGTTCAGTGGTTTAGGCGTGAAAGCGTAGCAGGCAGACAGACAGACAGACAGACAGACAGACAGACAGAGTTACTTTCGCATTTATAATATTAGTAGGGATATATTATTATTTATTAAGTTTCTGTTCATAGTTCTTTTCGTATGCATGCGGTGTATGCATGCATATTACACACCCATCGTGCATATGTAATTCACGGTAGTTAGTGAGGTCGGGGTTCAACTAATACTATTTAATTGATATTTGCACTTGTGGTAGGACAAGTTTAATATTATATTTTTATACACAAAATATTATTTTACATATGAGATTTTTTTTATTCTATTACTTTTTTAAAAATTAGACTCTTTAACATGGAAATTTATTATCCTTTTTGTAGTTTTTTGGAGATTTTTTATTTTTTTTTGTGCTTTATAGTTTTCATTTTGGAAACTTTAAGTCTAGGACACACTGTTAAAGTTAATACGTGGACAAGTAGCTTTTAATTATTAGATAAATAAAATAATACTATATAATGTTGTATTTTTTAATTATCATTAATTAATTATTTAATCAGCCAAAAGACGTCCACTGCAGGACATAGGCCTCCCCCAAGGATCTCCACGACGACCGGTCTTGTGCCACCCGCATCCAGCGGATTCCCGCGACCTTCACCAGGTCGTCGGACC